CCCAGTGGCATTTCACAAGAGAGTCACGAGAGAATAAATGTTTGTGGATGTGCCGGGGATGGAACCCGTCTTTTCAACAACTTTCCTGTGTCAGCGGTTACTATAGTTTTTCCAGATTTAAGGAATACCATCCTTACCAAAGGACTAATTCTGCTGTATGTCACAAATTTTTCCCCTGGTCACTTTTTCAAAGGACTTTAATGACAAGGTTTCGTCAAGTACTAAAAGTTGCTGTGCAGACAACATTGGTGGTGTCGAAAGAAAGTTTCTTTTGGATGGAGTTTACGATATCCCGTAGCAGAAGGAAACTCTCAAGCATCACGAAAGTGGATTTCCACCTGGTAGCAACATAAAAAAAACTTTTTAATGTTTCCATCTGGAACTCATTTCACAGGTTGGGCTTTCACTAGTCTGTCCCTAGCATTGACGCTTTGACGGGAAAAATAACAATATTCTTTACACTTTGCAAAGAGTCTGGTAGGACTGCAGTCTCTGCAATTGCCTTTGTTGATACCAGAGCCAGGTAGCAACATAAAAAAACAAAACATTTTTAATGTTTCCATCTGGAACTCCTTTCACTGATTGGGCTTTCACTAGTCTGTCCCTAGCATTGACGATTTGACGAAAAAAAACAATATTCTTTACACTTTGCAAAGTCTGGTAAGACTGCAGTCTCTGCAATGGCCTTTTTAATGTTTCCATCTGGAACTCCTTTCACAGATTGGGCTTTCACTAATATGTCCCTAGCATTGACGCTTTGACGAGAAAAATCACAATATTCTTTACACTTTGCAAAGAGTCTGGTAATACCAGACTCTGCAATGGCCTTTGTTGGTACCAGAGCCAATGTATGAGCGAAACAGGGGATATGTTTCCCTCAACCAATGTTGGTTTCAATTGCTTTTACTATGTTTGCTGCATTGTCTACAATTGCAGCATTTTTCTCTATTCCAACACCCCAATCTTCATATAAGGATACCAATTTCTTTCCAATATAGTCGGCAGTATGAGATTCACTCAAGGGCTTACCCAAGACACAACTCTTTTAGTCCAGGCGCTAAACGGGTTGAGTATGCACTGAAAGTCTGACAAAATTTGACTTTCGATTATTGTTGGGGACATCTAGTAGATGAAAAAAATCGATGATGTCGCATTTCTAGGGTGGTCACAACTCGGGGGGGGGGGGAGGGGGGAAGTTGCGCGGGTCATCGGTTTACGTTTCCGCGTCTAACTCACAAACGGTTAATGATAGAAAGGTGAATTAAGCATCTATCTACGCCTAAATATATTGTCCTTCAAAAAGGTAATTACAACTTTTCTTCTATCTCTTATACTTTAGGCGCTAATCAACATTTATTGCAAAAAATAAAATATAAAAAAACTTTAAAATGAAATATCGGAAATATTGCGCTTGTTTAGGGCATGTTACAAACTATTTATGGTTAGAAAAACTAATAAGTTGTTCAACAGCACCAAGTTTAAACAAATCTGTGCAAAAACAACAGAGCTACGTTGATTTCAGTAAGAGTAAACGTGGAAAATTCGTAGTAGTATCGAGGCGCGCATGGATGGTACACGTAGCCCACAGTCAATATAGGTTTGATGTTGTAAGTAACTACGGGAAAGCTGAATTTTTCTATGCTGTTAGACCATGTTGAGATGATCATTTGCCCAAAAGTCCCCACTCCTACCCCTTTGTGCTTTCCTCTACCCCCCCCCCCCATTTTAGATCAATTTACAGTCTCTTAGAAATTAAGCTATAACTTTAAAACGGGTAAGGATAGTAACGCAATCTTTAATTAATCATTTTGCGTTACGATACTCTACAAAAAGTGTATTTACCATGGTATCCTAAATATTCATAGTTAAAAAATATCATAAACATAAAAAAGTAATTTTTTTGGATTAATTTATGAAACTTTTCTTTGTAGATTTTTTATACGAGGTCGCACAACAAAATGTTTGATACAAAATTTGGGGTGCATAGTTTAAATTTTTAAATGATACATAGTTATTAACAGTTTGTTTGCATATAGTGGTTATAGATAGTACAGTATATTGATTTTACAGGACTCTGGCTTTTTTGTGCACCGCAACAATGAAAAAAAAACGTATATTATGGTTTTTGTATTTGAATTTGCCGCTTTATATAGATTATATTAACGTTATGTAGCTCATTCAGTACATATACAGACTATAGTGGATACATGTGAATGAATATCGTGCATTTGCTGCTGTACGCCAGAGCCTCATTTTATTATACAGGGTGTCTCACCTAAAGTGAACCAATAGATAACTTTTTTATTATGAGATATAGAGTTAACTTCTTATGGGACACTACCCTTTATTTTAAGATGTTTTTTTAGTAGTTTCGAATTTTAAAAATATGTTCGCCATTTTCCAATATGGCTGACAACTTTGTTAGTCCTATGGAATACCCTGTATTTTATGATTGTTTTAGAATGTAAACGCTCAATTTTTAAACATTTTTATTCTTGACATTTTTCTCTAAAGCTACTTGTTTAGGAGTTACATCGAAGAAGAAATGGTTTGTGAGTACATCCTGCATCCTGTAGCTCATAAACGAGTAAGTTTAAGAGCGAAAATACAAAGAATAAACAAGTTTTCAAATCACATCTACATAAAAAAACCATAAAATAAATATTTCCAATATCAAAGTAAGCTACCATTTTTGAAAATGGTGACCATTTTTAAAACAACAAAATCAGTATTTTTTAACGTATTTTATATATTTTTTTGAACGAGGACTTATATGTGACTTATTTATTCTTTGCACTTTCTCTCTCAACTTACTCGTTTATGAGCTACAGGATGCCGAATGTACACCACAAGCCTTTCTTTTAGATATAACAGGCTGTAACTCCTAAATGGGGTAGGTTTAGAGAAAAAATGTCACGAATAAAAAATAGCTTTTAAATTCTAAAAGAATACTAAAATACAGCGTATTCCATGAGAAATAACAAAGTTGGTGGCCATATTGGAAAATGGTGGATATATTTTTTTTATTCGTAATCATCCCTAAAAACATTTTTTACAAATAAAGGGGGTCGTCTAATAAAAAGTTAACTCTATATGGAAAATAAAATTTAAGTATGTTCAATCTCAACCGGGATGAAACGTGTACCCTTTTATAGCAGAATGTCCAATTTTAAAAAAGATACGTCAATTTTGGTCCAACAAGTTATATTTAAATGAATATGAGTTTTTTTTTTAATTTTTAAATGGCAAAGATTGGCGGGCACTTGGAAATTATCTTAAAGAGGCGTGGAGTAAAGGGTGGGAATTGATAACGGGGTATAATTATTAAATTTAAGAATTGAGATATCAATACAAAAATGGGAAAAATCTATGTAATTTAAAAATTTTTTTAAATATTGTTTGTTAAGTATCTATCAAAGTAAATTATAAAAGTAACAGGTTTGTTTTATGAATTATTAACTGTTTGTAGGAAACATTCAGATTCTCAGTAGGTTACATTTAAATTTATCTAGTTAGAATTTATTTAGTTTATCTAATTCATAAAACTTGCTTATTGCTAACCAACTGTTTAGTCTTAAGGGGTTATTGAAGAAGCATGTTGCATGAATAATTCGTGGTAAAACGGGTTTAGCTTATCTAAAAAACGTAGGAATTGTTAGACAACAACTACATTAAACTATCAAGTGATGCAATCAAATAGGGAATAATAAAACGTAAAAACGCAAATCGTATCACTCAAATGTTACCTGTCTCGTCGTAACATCCAACTAAAACTTGGTTTGGAAACCAATGATTTTAAATTTCATACAACACCATACTACCATACTTAAAAAGTCATTTTTACATGTATTTTATTGTACATGTAAAAATGTACATTTTATTGTACAACATGTTAAAAGTAGGCTACTTGTTCAGAAAAGGTAAAATGTATGAAAAAGCGCAAAATGACGGAACACTTTCAAAAGGCTTGTATTTTAAGGTATTTATTATAACAATATAAAATTTGTTTTCGTATCTTGCTTTATCAATTCCAGTTTAGCAAGGATTAACTACGTAAGTAAGCCTATTTTATGTTGTCATAAATTAATCCTGGAGGCAATGCTGAATAAAGTAGTTATTGTATTTTTTGTAAACAAAACTTTTATATTTCACAATATGAAAAACTATTGAAACAATTGAACTATTGAAACAAACTATTGAAACAACAAAATGAAAATAACAAAAATACAAATTTTCTTTTGTATTAGCCTACTTAGGCCTACAACATAAAAGTTAAAGTTTTTTCAATGTTAGTTTTTAATATAGTTTATACTTCGCTAAGTCGATGAAGTACTCTTCTGGCACAAGATCGCTGAATTTATTATAATAAAAGACAATTAAATTAAAAACTAACATGGTTAAGTGGATGATAATATCAAAATTAAAAGAGCTGAGGGCAACATGTTAAGGTAATTGTTGTACAATACAGTAAACAAATACAAATATGGTTACAGAATCGGCTTAATATCGTCTATAAAACACATTACTGTATACATTGCTGGGGTACTCATAAGCTTAGCGGCAATTTATCATGCGCTCTTGGAACTCTACTTTCCCCTCTCCATTATAGAAGTCCCGGTAGTATACTCGAATTTTTTCAGCTAGAGAAATTTCTTCCCCTGACCGATTGCATGGCTCCATGCCTACTAACTGGCGCACACTCTGCCTCCATTCACCTTCAGTGAGATGTCCCGTTGCCGTGTCTTCCCAGTCAACAGAACTAGACGTCAAATAGGTCGAACTTTTCCTTCGTAAATAATTGTGCAGTACGCAGCAGGCAAGAACAATGATTTTTGTGCTTTCCAATCTTGTCTTAATTTCTGTTTGCAAAACTTGGAATCTATTTGCAAGAATGCCAAAAGCATTTTCAACTATTCTTCTTGCCCGGCAAATACGGTAGTTAAAAATCTTTTCGTCGTGGGTGATTCCATTATTAGGGTAAGGTTTCATTAGGTTTTCTTTTAAGGGGAAAGCTTTATCTCCAACAAAACAAAAGGTAAACATACATCTCTCTGGTCCGCAAAGCTCGTTGGCGATGGTAAATTCAACTGGCCATTTTCCAACTTTTGTCCGAAATCTGTTTCAAAGAGAACTCCCCCGTCAGACACTCGTCCATCAACTCCACAATTCACATATATAAACTCGTAGTTCGCGTTAACCACAGCGAGCAATACTATGCTGAAAAAGTTCTTGTAGTTATAGAAGTAAGATCCACTACCAGGGGGTTGAAGGATGGCTATATGCTTGCCATCAACAGCTCCCACGCAGTTTTCTACGTTCCAGTATTTCTTAAAATCTGACGCAATATTCATCCAGTCGCTTTCATTATCAGGAAACTGGAAAAGAAATATATATATATATATAATATTAGTATGATATATATTCCTAAATTTATATTTGATTTTTGTATTTTGTGGGCCATACACATATCATAGGTGACGCATGTCAGTTAGTTTTTACCAGCTTTATCTCCTATACAGTACGGTATCGTATTCTATTTACCCTTGCGAAACACGGCTACTGTCCGTTAGTAATATGTTTTATCAACGAAATGCGTTTTTTATTATTCTCATTGTTCTTACACAGGTTCCCGAGGACTTTACCACTATCCTGGACGGTAGCAGCATAACCAGTCCAAGTGAAAGATCATCTGCGACTGCCACGCCTACTAGTGAAACGGGAAGGTCGCTCTTACAAACATCAGATCTATCATCTGACACCTCGAGTACAGGCCCACGACGTCAGCGAAAAAGAAAAGTCTCATAGTTAGAACAAAAGAAAGAAGCTTTTTTGGAAACTGCTACCAATGCTTTGAATCACCTAAATGAAACTAAAGCATTTGGTAGCAGCGTTGCCTTCCAGTTAGAAGACATGGAAAGACGCCAAAAGATATTCGCGCAAAAACTTATTTCAGACATTCTTTTCCATGGTAAATTAGGTAATTAAATGAGCATTCAGTCTTCCAGTTAAACAGCAACCCCCCTTTTACTCCAAGTTTCTATCATGGGGGATCTAGTGTTCATCCTACAACTCATCAGTTTCCTGGAAACAATTACGGGAATTTTAACTCTACTTGTTACCAACCATACATCCCACTTCAGTCCACACAAACTAACGCTCAAAATAATACAACTGTTTTAAACGAATCTACGGCATCCAATCACTCTCAAACTGGCACTACAGGAAACTTAAATACCAATGGTACTACTGTTGAACTTGAAGATAACGAGAATATCGGGCAGTATTTGATTTTCAACCGAATAGATTAAACTACAAAGTTCCCACCGTAACAATAAAATCTTGGAATTCACTGATAAAGGAGGTTTTTATTTTATTCTATAGTTTAGTTAGAAAATTTGTTTCAATTGTAAATTTTTTTAAATAAATGAGCTAAATACAATTTATTTTCAGTTACTATTATTGCATTCAATCTACCTTTTATAAGTTAGTGTACGGTAAGTAAGACGTAATAAAAACAAACAAAATTAAACATGCTAAAGTAACAACACAAATGTTGTACTTACTTTAAGGTATTCCTCTCTAAGAGCATTATAAATTGCGGCACAGGTTTCTGGTATGATTTTTCCAAGCGACTGAGGCGATATGGCACAGCTAAACTTTAGGTTTTCGTAGCTTCTTCCACTCGTCAAAAAGTGAAGTGTTGCAGCAAGGCGCTCTTCACAGCTGATCGCCTCCCTCATAACAGTATTTTGTTTCTCAATTATCGGAGAAATACGTCCAAGAATGTCGTTAAAACAATCTTCGGTCATCCTCAGGTAATTTTGAAAGTCGTTCGTTTCGTTTTCTGCTAGTTCTCTTAGAAGGGACATATGACTGAACCGTTTTATATTTTTGAACCAATTTTTACACCATATTTTTCGTGGCTTACTTTTGCTTTCCTCTTCCAAACAAACTGCACCACCACAAAGAGCCACAACAGCATTGGCATCCATTTAAATTTACTCCAAATAAAGTTATTACAATCTATACTATTATATAAAAATCTAATGGTGTCTGTCTGTATGTGTATTACTAATAGGTGCAAAAACTACTGAACCAACTGGGCTTAAGTTGTACAAAAATATAGCTACCATACCAAGGACCATTATAGGACTATTCACATTTTGAAACTGACCGTAGGTTTTGTCCCTTGGGCTTTAAACGTTCTGAGGTGAACATTTTAAAAGTAAATATTGATTGGTCTCCATGGCTGCGATGAGAACACTAACAATGTTTGTTTACATTTGCTTTGACAGTCAGCTGTGTATTGTTTTACACAATAGTTGTAAATTATTTTTCTCTTGATTATTTTTCAAAAAAATCTCGGTTTTTATAGTTAGTTTTTGTTTTTATAGTCATAAATGAATGTGCGTTAGTATTCCGTTATGCTCAGTTACTTTCAGACTTGATTTGATGTGTAACGTGGTAACTATTTAGACTTTTGAAATTTCATAACCTGTACCGTTTGATTTGTTTACGTTTATCTATCATTTCTCTTTTGATATGGCCGACGAAGGTGTGAATTACACCAACTCGCACCTCTCTGACCACAACTACTCCAATACCGAGGGTTCTCTTTCATCTGAAATCATCGATGCTATGATTGATTCTCCTAGCAAGACAAACACGTCAGAAGACGATACAGACAACTGGCAAACGATTCCCAAACGCAGAAACGTTGGAGAAGTTTCTAATAGAAACCAAAAAAAGGCCAAACAAGACATGAACACGCCTATTGAAGTTAGCAACAGTTTTGAAGTATTAAATGTAGATAATGAAGACATGGACTCTAACATCCCAACAGTTTCTAAAAAATCATCAGAACCTAAGCCTCCACCTATTTTTATTCCTGATGTGGGTAATGTGAAGGCAATGATTCAAACATTTGAATCTGTCGTTGACACTACTGCTTTTGCCTACAAATGCATAAATAACAATTCAGTTAAGATTCTTCCAACATCTGCTGATATTTATAGAAAAATAGTGAGAAAACTTAACGAGAGTAATGTCAGCTTCCACACATTTCAGCTTAAACAAGATCGAGCATACAGAGTTGTATTGAAGAATATGCACTATTCAGTTGATACAGAAGAACTAAAAGAAGCACTACGACAGATGGGTCATGAGGTAAGAAATATTTCTAATAAACTTCATTCAACCACCAAACAGCCACTGTCAATGTTCTTTGTTGATTTAGAGCCGAGTTCAAATAACAAAGACATCTTCAATATTCAGTATTTGTTACATGCTAAGATAACTTTTGAACCCCCTTATAGGAAAAGGGAAATTGTTTAATGTAAAAGATGTCAACAATATGGTCACACAAAAACCTACTGTAGGCATCCATTTAGATGTGTTAAATGTGGAAAAGAACACGATACAATCAAATGCACTAAAGACAATTCTACTCCTGCAATATGCGCCTTGTGTGGAGGAGGTCATCCAGCCAATTACAGGGGATGCACGGTCTTCAAAAATATCCAGAGTCGAACACATCCCCAGGCTCGAGGAAGAACTACCGTACCAAAACAAGCTGAAGTTACTCAATCATCAAATTCTGCTTCTTCTGACAATCTAACACGTCCTGACGTTTCGTATGTGGAGGCAGTTAGCAACTCACGAGTAAGTAACAAAACTAAACCCAGCACAAGTTCTGATAATGTGAATGCACGCACGCCAAGTAATGCTTCTAGTGATGCATTCACAGAAAAGTTAACAAATACAATAACTTCATTCTTCGATCGGTTTGAAAAACTGTTTATGCAACAATCTCAACAAATAGGTTCCTTACTTGACCTACTTACAACTGTTCTTAAAAAGCTCAATTAATGGTGAAAACCTTGAAGATAACCTTGTGGAATGCTAACGGCTTGGCACAGCGATGCCAAGAATTAAAACTGTTCATTGCTAAACATAAGTTGGACATTATTCTTATTTCTGAAACTCACTTTACTGATTCAAACTTTTGTAAAATTCCAAATTTCAGTCTATACAACACTAACCATCCTAGCAATAGAGCTCATGGAGGTTGTGCTATCTTGATTAAAAGTCATATCAAGCACCATGAATTGCCAAAATATCAGTTCGATTTCATCCAAAGTTCATCTGTTGTAGTGGAGTTTGAGACAGGCCCACTTACTAAAGTTCTATTTACTGCCCACCAAGACACAACATTACACGCCAACAGTTTAATGATTTCTTCTGCACTTTAGGCTGTAAATTTTTGTCAGGAGGAGACTACAATGCCAAACATCCTACATGGGGCTCCCGTCTGGCAACTCCTAGGGGTCGACAACTATTGCAGTCAATCCAAGAACGGAACCTTGATACTCTATCGACAGGTGAACCGACATATTGGCCCTCTGATCGTCAAAAAATACCAGACCTTCTTGATTTTTTTGTTACAAAAGGTGTATCCCGAGATTTTGTGACAATCAAGCAATCTCTGGGCCTTTCCTCAGACCACTTACCTGTAATTTTAACGATCGCTTCAAATGTTATATTCAAACCTATTCCACCACATTTATAGAACAAAAATACAGATTGGAATTATTTTCTTGAATTAATGGATCAAAATTTAAAGATTTCTGTGTGCTTGAAGAGCGAAGAAGATTTGAATCTTGCTGTTGAACATTTCAACAAAACAGTTCAAGACTCCGCTTGGAGAGCAACTCCAGACCAGAATAAACATAATTTAAAATCAGGAATACACTATCCAATTGAAATTAATAGGAAAATTGCCGAAAACGCCGACTCCGTAGAATATGGCAACACTCTAGAGACCAGACGGATAAAAGAAATCCAAACAGGGCCACTCAACAACTAAAAAGGTTACTGTTTAAATTAAACAATGACAGATTTCAAGATTTCACATCAAACCTTTAATTTTAATTTGAAAAAAGCGTTTGGACAAATACGATTTCAACACTCCATAGTATGTATGGGGCAGCAAAGTTTTAATTTTGAACAATAATCCTGTGTGCCAGACTTTATCAAACGCCTGGCTACGTCCAAAAAAGCAGATGAACAAAAACGTTTATTTTCAAGATCTTCCTTGATTACACTCACTATTCTATGCACTTGCTCAATGCCTTCGGCGGAATCCAAACTGATGGGAAGGCAACAATTCTTTTTCATCAATTATAATTTGGAGTCTTTTTAAGAAAAGTTTTTCAAAAACTTTAGAAACCACAGGAAGAAGAGATATAGGCCGATACGAGGATGCTTGATTTAAAGGTTGACCAGGTTTCGGAATAACAACAATTTGTGAAACCTTCCACTGTATTGGGAAGTATTCAAGGCGTAAAACTGC